GGGAAAAGACACCAAGCGGTAATAGCAATAGCAGTTAGACTTATATACCGCTTCATAGGGCTTTCAGCCCTCTCTAAGTGGTTTACAGAGACGGCATATCGCCCCCCACAGTCTGGGTCCTCATTTCACCCACCTCGGAAGGATGGAAGGCTGAGTCAACCTTGAGCTGGTGAGATTAGAACAGCCGAACTGCAGAACTAGCAGTCAGCTGAAGTAGCCTGCAGTGCTGCATTTAACCACTGCGCCACCTCGGCTCTCTAGTACCTCAGGGGATGGGAGAGGCCTTGAGAGACCTGGGACAGAACTTATTCCAAGTCTCCCAAGGCCTGCTTTAGGCACCCCAAGCTTCACTTAACAACCACATCAGGAAGAACAGGGATGGAGCATCATAAGTAAGGCGATCCACATGGGCGCTTCACTTAACGGCTATTGGGACTCATGGCAGCCTCCATTATGGCAGTTGGTCAAAGTCTACCTGATATCCATACAATGTTATAAATCAAGCACAAAAGGACAATTTACTTTTAAAGCTTATGAGCCATGGATATTTATTTAACATTTAAGATTTCTTACCACAGAATTCGATGGATCAATCTTCAAAATTTCTGTGAAATATATGTAAGCGTCTGAAAAGCGATTCTGACCAAGATGGAGAAATGCTCTAAAACACAAGAGTAAGAAGGAGATAATGTATGTATTCTTTCAAAAATGACTCCGTTATAAAAGGAAACTACATTCTTTTCTTTTCATAGATATGGATATTCTCTCAGTTGATCTTCCTAAATTAATCTTGGGTCTAAATTATAATTTAGATTCCAGATTAAACAATGCAGCATGAGTAGCTAATTCATAGGTTATGAAGAGGCGAACAGAAGTATAGCATTAAGTTCCAACTTACGGGAATTCTTCAGCAGACTCTGTTTTCTGTATATTTTTTTGCCAATACGTATGTGGTCTTCACAATTTTAGATAAGCACTTAAAACATTAAATGAGTACACTTCAATAACTCTTTCTTTTGTTCAGAGACAGAAAGGGGATCCATGGAAGTTTCCAATGGTTAGTGATTTTAAGTAGTTTCTTTGAAGTTGTATTCCGAGTGCAAGAACCCTTACTTTTTGGAAGTGCTCCCAATAATGCTGTACAACTTTTGAGAAACTAGGAACAGAAGGGAGAGGGGACTCAGAGTGAGGAAGGCCTCTTTCTCTAGTATGTATGACATTTTGCTGAGCACAGTTCTAGATCCAATACATTCAACGTTTCACTGAGTTAAATGGTTCTTCTTAGTAATTATGGGTAAGTCTGCATTGCAGTATTAATCTGTAAAGCTGATATAGGAATACATTTGCATGTGAAAGTTGCTAGAACAAAGCATGCATATATATATATATATAT